ATGTTACCGGCGGAGGCGAAACTTCCCCCTTCGGCTAAGAGTCGTATGTTGTTGGATCGGCTTACTGCCTGTGCCCCGGAGGGAGCCAGGCCGGTTTTGAGAAGGCGTCGACCTAAGGGTATCACTGAGGTCTGCCAGATTATAGAGGATTACAGGGGGAAGCAGTCTCGGACGGCCAAGCACGCTGCGGCGGCTGTGTCCGAGGATGAGCATGCGTGCCCCGGGGCGGTGGCACAACACTCCCCAGACAAGGACAAGCAGCTGGCTTCGCTTATTGAATCACAGACTAAGGCTATCAACGCTATGCATACTTCGCAGAATTCCATGCGTCAATTCCTCCTAGGCATTCATCCATCGAAATTCTCCCGTCCGAAGGGCAATATCCCGATACCACACGGATAGGTTTGGAGTTCATTACCCCGGGCCTTGAGCAATCAATATCTACTTCAGCCCAATCGCGATTTGCACTAAGACTTTGGACAGCACGGTACGATAGCCTCCTCTGAATTAGCAAAGCACTACGGGGTCCCACCTCAGCTGAGACCAACTCCCATTCCCCACTCTCCCTCAGAGCAGACAGATAAGCTGCCCTACGTGGGAGTTCTTGGATCGCTATGATGTCTACGTCCTTGCACTGAATGGGGATCTCGAAAATACTACTACTCCTACCCATATTTATCTGGAATATTATTATGTTACAGGTTCTACCTCCCTCGGAGGCCAGCGCTACTACCGAGGGCCCACGTCCCCCACCCCAGGCCCGACTGCCTGAGCGCCACAGGGCAGACTTTGTGATCAATTGCTCTGTGCTCTTCTCTACAGTTGGCGCACTTGGCTATTCCACCCGGGCAATTGCCACCTTCATGCCCCTCTCGAGCGCATTTGTAGCACTTAGCCACCATATTGCACTCGTTAGCTTTGTGGGCTTCTTTCCCGATGGCACAGCACTTGAAACACATCCTCTTCCTGTGCTTCTCCTCTACACGTAGCAAACGCCATCCAACCTTTACACCCTCCTTGATGAGTGACACAGCCGACTCTTTCTTGACCCGAACGAAGGCATTCAATCCCTTCCTATGAGCTGTGAGACACGCTTCTCCAATGGCTTCCTTCAGTGAGTCATCAGAGACGTTGCCCACATCCCTAGCGAAAAGTTCCGGCTCGATAGGATTGAGGACCTTAGCCTCATACCCGAGTGATCTAGCCGCTTGCCTCACCACATCCTGATCGTCATGTGACACCCGAATGCCTAATCTGCCGTCCTTAGCAAAGAAATTATCACGGATTGTGGCCTTCGCCTTCTGTGCAATTCGATCGCTGACCGCAATGCGTTTCTCGGAGCTCTTGTCATCAGACCCGATGTCTCCACCAGTTACCCAAATCAAAGCACCTTCACGCTCCAGACGCTTATGTGGTTAGGCAGCAAACGGCCATCCCCTAGGCTCACTGCCACGAGATCCTCCACGTATCCTCTCCTGAGCAAGTTCATCCTTAACCTTAGTGTGAGCCTCAAGCAGATCAATCAGCTTTTTCTGTCCACCCGTCAGATCCTCCTGAGCAGCCGTATAGATCCTATGTAGCTTGTCCAGCAGGGCCTTGACTTCTTTCCTTTTACCGGACGCCATGCTGGATCCATCGCATACCTCCATGATGTCGTCCACCACCCCTAGGAAGCGAGGGATGCCTCCAGAATCTTCCTGTGGAGTATCGGAGCGAGTTGCAGTGACAGTCATTTTTCGCGAGAAAAACTTGAGCCAGACGGCTACCGACGTCAAGATGGACAATGGTGACATGATGTCACGGACATCAACATCTACGATTACCTAGACCGCATCGAATCTGCTGTTGCTATGTGTGCGAGTGTTGGCCTCCATCTACAACCCAGGCAAGTCAACCTACACTACCGTGAAGGCCTCCATCCCACTCTGAGGAGGACTGCAGACGAAAACTACGCGGCCATCGATGATGTCTAACAGCTTACGCAAGCCCTACGTAGTCATATCCGCTGCAATCCTAAGCTCTACATCAGCAATGCTAATTCGAACAGGGCCCCTCCGGTATCAACTTTTGTCCCCACTAAGGCTCCTAATCCCAAGCTGCCTAGGGTTGAAGACCCCGAGACTCTCAAACTCTGTCGAGAGCAAGGGATATGCTCGGCCTGGACAGCTCGCAGGCAGTGCCGCTATGCTGATGATTGCAAGTACAAGCATAGCGACGTGGCCCGTTCATTACTACACCAGAAAGATGACTAGCATTATCCTGACGGCCAACTCATTCCCCGTGAGATCTCTTTTGATACTGCAGCTGCAACCCGGTCTATGAGTTCACTCTACCAACTCAAGACCAACTTTCCCATCTGCGATGGAAACCGTAAAGTCTCAACATTCACATGGTCACCGTCTATCATCAACGATGGACTACTACTTCATTCCGATGGACTCCTCGGTATGGATACTTTTTTCATCAATGCCGACGGTCTGCTCATCAACTTCAATGGTTGATTGGTTCAAGCTTCAAAATTTCTTTGTAGCTCTCATTCATTGGATAAAAATCGATCATCAGGCATCACGTCTCCGACATCAACTACGAGTCCAATCGGTTCATCATTGTCAGACCTATATACTTGCCTAACAGCCACTGCTACTCAAGGTCCTAACCGGTCAACATTCGACTGCGCGACCTCCACTACATCTGATCTATCTACGCCTACTTCATCAACGGCATCATCAGATGACTCTATCGAAGGCCATCATATCGCTGCTCTCAAAGGCAAGGCCTCCAAACAAAACTCGGATGACGTTATCTCCTATGACGTCGATTCACTGGGCTACACACCACCTAAATTCCCTGAACCACCCGAAGGCGACAAGCTACTCGAGACCATCTACAACAACGAATGGTGTATTATTGGTAAATTACCAATGGTAATAGTAAAAAGAAAGGATACCAATTTGGTATCCTTTCTAATAAAAATGGTAACAGAGAGTATTTTGTTGACTATAGTGACCAGCTACTGCGGCTAGCTCAACTAGCCAAAACCGGTCCCTTCTACGATATCCAACCTACCCCAACGGCTCTATCATTACCCACTACAGAGGATCTTGACTGACAACGCTAGTATCATCAAGTCAGCTTCGAAGTCTACGCCCTCTGTTCAATTCGATTATGTACCTGTCTCTGCATCATGGCTAAATGGACATATTGAAGCTCGTCATCGACTACTCAACCAACGACTGCGACCTTCTTTCTTGACAACTGCTTTCGTTGACGAGAAAACTTGGTTTGAGGCTGTCTCTCGTGCGGCTTATGAGATCAACTCCAGCTCCAATCTACTTGCACATGGACTCTCACCGCTAGACATGGTTATTGATGGTTCGGGTATTTCTCCTTTCGACACCAGCGAAAGATGCAAGCTTCCAGATGACAAATGGACTATTTGGAGAAAGTATAAGCATCCCTGTCGTGAACCTACTCTCAAAGCGATGGCCAACAAGACTGCTACATGACCTCCACTAGGCCTCCACACTCGGTTGGTGATAGTGTACTTGTACACACTACGGAATCTCAGCCGGAGGCCTCCACACCCTGAATTTCAACAAGGAGAGAGATATTGTTGAGATAGAAGGCGACCGTGCTTTGCTAGATGATGGTGTGTGGCGCTCTACTGATAAGCTCAAGAAGCTAAATGATGAAGTGCTACCTCGGTATGTATTCAATGATATTCCATCTTTCATAACAGTATAACACTTTCGGTATTTGCACTACTATCATTAAATTAGTAACTATCTGGGGAGGGCGTGTTCGCGCGCGTTACACAACCAAGCACCTTGAGATTCTCAAGTTGAGAATCTCCAGACTGGAGACTCCAGTGACGATGTGCTTGCGATGATATATCACACTATGTTAATCGAGGGTGTTGATGTAGCGTGTTACAGTCCATACTTTAATTGGTCTCGGACTGTTCGAATTCACGTGTTGATGTGCGCGCGTATGGCGCGTGCTGAAATATTGAACAAGCACAGACTCTGTGGCAAAGAAAGTGTGAGTGGTAACACCCGCACTGATTGACACGACAACACTTGGGATAGCCATAACATGAAGTTTCCAATGACGTAGAGGAGCGGATGGATAGGTGTAGCTGACTTGGTCAGGCTGACTGGCTGAGATAGCTAGGGCAAAGCAGATTGCGTTGCCAACAGCAGAACTGGTGTGGTCCATAGGTCACAGACTGCTCGGTACAGCCTATAACACGAGAGCGGCTCACGATGAGCTGCCAGATACATCGAACCACAAGGCGGCGCTCGCTGTGGACGGACCCACAGACTGTGACTCACCACACTCCAGTCAGCGGTCATCTATCAGGGCTGGAAATGTCTAACAACGAATACCATCCAGATATCTCTGCTCCAAAGATTCTGCGGACGTACCTTGTAACATCGTCGAGACAAACCCTAACTCTCCCTGCACATCGAGGAATTGGGCTGGGATGAGCGCGAAAAACCAGCCACCACACGACCAACACCATGGCTTCAATAATTCATATCGCTGGAATACCTGCTTTTGCTTGAAGCTAGTAGCTTCGGATGTGCTCAGGATACCCCAATGGCTCATCACAGGCTTGTCGCACAATCACACAATCATCCTCTCCTTCGTTGTTCAGAAGCAGGAAATTCCACTTAAATCCAATTTAACATCTCGTTTTCATCGTATTACTTTAGGTTCTCTGCAACATCCCGTCAGCTGTGCTGATTCAGCATCCGAAAACTATCGTTATCTTTATGTGTTTCTCCACATCTAATATATGGCCATCGTGACCAATCCAGAAACGGTTGTCGCGTACCAGGTACGTGTCGCTGAAGCTACCGATGAAGGTAAACTTTCAGACATAAACCCTGAAGATGGATATACTAATTGATACAAACCCGGATGAGGTTGTAGGGTGTTATGTATGTGGCAGGGCTGGAGACTCCAAGTGGAGTATTGGTAGAGACATGAATGCTATTGGCTTACGAAAGAAGGCTTTTACAGCCTTCATCTATTCCGCTTTCGGAGCAATATCAACAATAGTCCAAACACTGTGACACAAATATCAGTAACAGCGACAGCCTAGGAACCACTAAGATGATCTCTGAGAGATCATCTCTTATCGTAACAGACCAATCATTTTATCACCGCCAAGTGCCTTACTGTTTTTCGTCAAGTTTGGGTACAAAGCAGGCTATGTCTTTGGCACGCGACTCGAGGCTTTCTCTAGCCCGGTTTCAGGGAACGATTAGAGCTGTTCGACGATCAGTGATCGTGCCAGACCGTTTGGATGTGTCCCGCTTCCCGGGTTATTGTATGTCAAACAGAACACCCCTCACTCTAAAACGGTCGGCGGTCAACACCGTGTTGAGAAGACTCTCGGAGGAACTAATCTTAGATCAGTTTTTCCGACATCAGTCAGATTAGATTAGATCTATCATGCTGCGGATGAATCCACCAATGTAAGGTCCCTCGATTCAATGCTCATTGAGCATTGCTCAACAGTCGTCTGTACTCGTTATGTTTATTCCTCCGTTTAGATGCACTCGGACATGTAGAGTTGCAACATTGGTAACCAATTCTCCTTGGCTTCTGCGCTCACTGCTAGGCACCAATGATTGGTGCCTAGCAGTAAGAGTTGAAGCTATTGGCTTCAAGCCAAGAAGGTGAATCAACCTATCAAGTAGACTAACTTACATCAGTCTTGCCTTCTGCTCCCAAGTTGGAAGTCCCAACGCTCGTTCAGAGTTCGACACCAACTAGGAAGGCGAAACTAGCAAGCGCTGAAGAATGCCGTAATGCTGCAGTGAAAATAATTGAGGCCTCCAAAGCATTATGCCTCCGCACTGTGGAGGCAGTGCTCATGCTACGGGATCTGCAGCATGAGCAGCTGTGCCTCGGTTACTCTACGTTACACCTTCAAACCGCTATCCATATAAATTTTCAAAAGTTGCCTTGCAGATCCTTCAAATGGGATAATCTATATCGAATTATATGGCGATTCTGTGATGAGCCTTACCTTTCGTGTTCGCTCAGCCACGAAACGAGATATAACTTTTCGTGGTCTCCAATGAAGAACACAGAACGTTACTTTCCACGAAGACTCTTCATCGGGTTCTTATGGAGACTCCATGATGGAGTACATCCAAGGGTCAGGCATGAATCATGTCGCATGACTCTGACTCTAACAGTATCGCCATTAAGCTTTGATAAACCAAAGCGGGTACAGTACCCGCCGGGAACAACCCGGGCTACTTCCGAACACGGAATCAGCTCTCTTCGTTTTCAGCATCGCAGGTCGCTGCATCCTTTCGATAGGCAAACACTGGATGACAGCGAGCTGTTCCTAATTAAGTGCAGAACTCGTTGGTGCACACCCACCGGTAGAAAACCCAGAGTTAACAAAATCAGCTTCGTGACGAAAACACTGAACTCTCGACAACATGCGCAGTTCAAGGCATTCACATACTACCAAGAAGCAGCAGAAAATATATGAACAACAATGTTGGTCATTACCTACCGTATGATGTTACAACATACGGTAGTTAATGGACAAGCTTCAACATATTGAATGATCCAGACGTTCAGTCGCTGTTTCCAGACATAGGCCAATCAAGTCCACTCCACGCCAAACTATGCAATTCGAGAGGTGTGAAAATTCGTCCACCTACGGAGGATTTTGAGAAGTTGCTGATGTTAATACTCGGCTGGACAAGACGACGCCTTCCGTCCATACAAAGACTGTCACAAAGTGGTCGAGTTCAGTCGTCTTTCCCGCGATTAATTGAAGAGTGTACATAGGAGGAACGACCAACCAAACAGGCAACATCACAAGGAAACGACGTCAGTTATTCGTAAATGAACAGTTCAAGAGCTTTCTTCAGGCTTCGACTTACGCTCCTTGCGTCTGAGGGAAATGTCAGAATCATCCACATCCAGATGTCCACCGGAAATCGCTAAGTGTGGTCACGCTTTTAAAGGCGATACTCGCAGAACAGGCCACTGAGTGTTACAGATTTTCCCGAAAATCGTAGTAGAAAAACATATTTCACATTTCGTTTCGCGGAAAACGTGTGAATGAGTGTATAAGTACTCGCTGGCCTTCGTCATCTGCTCCTTAACCCATCGATCCTCCTCCTTCTTGAACTCCTCAATGCTCGAGGCGGGAAAGGCGCCTTGCCTGAAGCGATAACACATTGTGTCAAGGAGACTCATTCTATGCGGTTCTCACGGCAACCAACAGTCACGACCTCGAATCTATTGACTTCGTTTCGATAAGGGGACGTATACAGTAATCGATTTGGGAAAATATGCACACGGTTAACTACATGTGTCAGTGACAATATGGAAATTCTGAGGAAATTTTGGGAAAACCTTATTGGTTTTTGTACACTTCTACCCGAATTCTATAATTAGTGAAGAAACTCCTGAACTCAGCTGAAAAAAGGCGAACGTATATTCCTACTCCAACACTGCCTATAATTTTCCGACTCCTCGACTTACCAACGGCCGCGCATCTTTTGGTTCTCCATTTCCCAGCTGGGTTCGCCAGACATGAAATACCGATCTAAAAAATTGGAAAACTCACATCCTGTTGAGCGTAGCCATGAACAGTGTAGAAGAATATGCACATAGTCAACTGCATGGGTTGTTGACAATATGAAAATTTTGGATAAATCTTGTTGATTTCAAAAGACCATAGGTAAACTTCTACGATTGTTGGGGAAACCCCTGAGCTCAGCTGAGGAGAGCGAACATATATTCCTACTCCAACACTGTATAGGAAACTCCTGAGCTCAGCTGAGGAGAGCGAACATATATTCCTACTCCAACACTGTATAGGAAACTCCTGAGCTCAGCTGAGGAGAGCGAACATATATTCCTACTCCAGCACTGTATAGGAAACTCCTGAGCTCAGCTGAGGAAAGCGAACATATATTCCTACTCCAACACTGACATGAGTTTAACGTAAGCTGCTCTCGATAGCGAGGAAGTTCTGAACCAAATCGCTATGCGAAAAAGGAGAATTCCAACGAATAGCGGCCACTAGGGACCTCCAAAATGACCTTTTCGTGTTAATTTTTTACACGAAAAAATGACCTAGGAAATTGATTGTTGAAACTTATACTGGACGAACAGTAAGATGACCGTCATCTTACTAGTTTTCTTGTCGTAAGTGTAGCCAGCCTCGAGAAGGAAGTCGTGTTGCTCGATCATGATGGAGAGAGGGAAAGCCAATGATAGCTATTTCAAGCGTGTTGGGTAATAATTTCGTGGCGCGCGGTCATTGCCTTGTGCCAGTCGAGACACTCTAAGTATATCAGGCGGTAGAAGTACCTACGAAAGCGAGGGCGAAAGCAGTGTGAGATTTCATAGCTATTATTCTGTTGTTTTTTTCAAATTCTAATTAGCTGCATTTGGGAGATAGTTTCTTGAGTTATGTACAGTGCGTGCCAATTTGATACTATGCGAATGTGGAGAATGTGCGTCGTTTTTTTCTATTCCGGGATTAATGATAGTGAACAACTTGTCGCTATCACAGTCTCGAATGGTTACTTTTATCACATCACATGTTCATAGCAATGTTAACATTGTTTATGCGATATAGTTTAATCTCCGAGAATAACACACATTTGCATCGATCAAATTGATAAGCATTGTTCTTTCCTTTTCTGGAATTTTCTATCCTAATTAACGATGCTGCATGAGCTCGCAATGACCGACGTTAACGGTGAGGCAACTACCCTCGCAGTAGGAGAGCACATTCGAGAAAGTATTGACCAGGCTGAGACGACACTGTTGGATTATAAGGGAAGGAGAAGTGTGGCCGAGAAATGGGTAGGACATATGTTTGCTGAACACATATGAATAATAAAAATTTTCACAGAGGGGGGAATAATCACGGAATTATGTCCAATAAGTAGTAGTTTGAGTTTGGAAGTTCCCTCACTCGTGTGTACAGAAACCCAGTAGAATTTTCATACTGTCACCAACACATGTAGTTGATTATTTCCATACTTTTCAAAATTGCCTTTTTTGTTTTAGGTCGATTTCGTTGATAATAGTAAGTGGCTTTCAAGTTTTCTTATTGATGCGAAGCACGTGAGCCCTCCATGTGAAGTGCCTGGGTTGGTGGGAATATTCGAATTTGTTTTTTGGGAGATTCGCGTTTTTCAGATATTCATTATATCTGCTGTATTACGGGGATTCGGGCAAGTTGTTTTTCAGGATAATCCATGTGAGTTTACTAGTAGTGATTTTTTATGGAGTTTCACCGAATGACCACGACTGTCTCTGTTGCGAAGCGAGAGAGCTAGATAATGGTGCTTCACCAGTGATATTAGAAAAACATTTCAAATTTCACCTCGCGAAAAACAACTGTGTGATCGGTCACTCAATGGAGTATTAATCCACTTCACGTTAAACGGGTAAAACTCTATTGGGACTTCGCGTATTTTCACTACGTTCGTTCGTTTTAATTATTTCTCAACGACTACACCAGTTGAGCTCTCGAGACACATACCATTCGGAAGAGTGTAGTTCATGTATCCTACAGAGATATTAAAATACTCTCATACCCGCCCTTTATCGTGTATTGGCCGCGAACGGAAAAATGCCCTCGCCGAGGATCGAACCCGCGACCTTGTCTCGAAGGTCTGGTTGATCATTACTTGAGTCTACTATTATAGGGGACTCGTTTTGCTGTTGTTATCAGGGACGGGTCTGTTCGTTTGTATTGCCGGTGGTTTGCCTCATTGGCCTACCGCTATCATGGGCATCATTGGATGTAAGTTGTTGTTGTTGTATATGTCGTTGTTGTTGTTGTATATGTTGTTGTTGTTGTATATGTTGTTGTTGAATATGTTGTTGTTGTATATGTTGTTGTTGTTGTTGTTGTTGTTGTTGTTGTTGTTGTTGTATATGTTGTATATGTTGTTGTTGTATATGTTGTTGTTGTTGTTGTTGTTGTTGTTGTTGTTGTTGTTGTTGTTGTTGTTGTTGTTGTTGTTGTTGTTGTTGTTGTTGTATATGTTGTATATGTTGTTGTTGTTGTATATGTTGTTGTTGTATATGTTGTATATGTTGTTGTTGTTGTATATGTTGTTGTTGAATATGTTGTTGTATATGTTGTTGTATATGTTGTTGTTGTTGAATATGTTGTTGTATATGTTGTTGTATATGTTGTTGTTGTTGTTGTCACACTCGGTCAAATAAACCTCTCCCACATTTTGATTTCTTCGGCCAGCTCCGTCAGCGGTTAACGAATGCATTGACTTGTTCATATCTAGCACTAATTTTCACGAGCTGTTTGTATAGGTACTATCACGACGGTTTTCCCCTTACTAGTACAACCACTAGAAACAAGAGGGTAAGCTTACAGCTTTGCATATTTCCCTCTTTCACACTGCCGTTTTGTCATCAGATTGGTCGCTAGTGGCCTATACGGTTTTAATGGAGTTTTGCTGGGCTGGGGATACTCAACCTTTGACAACAACATACAACAGGCTCATTCATGTACTACTATACGGATGCTGTGATCATGACGATGAATTATGTTGCTCTCCGTTTTACGCGAAGTGGCGTAATACTCGCCGGTGATATTCGCGGTAGGCTATGGCTTTTGTAGTATGTTTTTCGTATTACGGGTGAAACTCAATTATGTGTTGGAGAAATATATGTTCGCTGTCCTCAGTTGAGCTCAGGAATTTTCTCACTATTTTTAGAATTCGGGTAGAAGTGTACGGAAATGAGCAATAATTTTCCCGAATTTTCTTGGTGACAATGTGAATTTTCACATTGTCACCAACACATGTGCATATTTTCTCACGAGTAAAAGTGTACAAAACAGTTCTCAAAAGTTTATTCCAAAAATCCCCTCAGAATTTTTATATTGTCACCAACACATGTAGTTGACCATGTACGTATTTTCTCCCCCTCATTTTGTTTTAGTATCATCTGGTGTCATCGCGCTGTTGAGGGCCCTACCAGCAATGCTGTTCCTTGGAGTAGTGCTTGGGAAAGACGAAAGAAATTTTAGGGCGCGCGCTTTTTACAAATTATAACATGTATTGGTGATTCGTGATACAGTAATTTGAATTATGAATGTTCACAAGCTTTGAATATTCGGATGTGGGATTTTGAGTTTGGGTGGTTTTGGATGGGTAATTTATTCCGAGTGAAAATTTTGATATCGTGTTATAGTTGTATACGTCGTATCGTTCAACTATAACTCGTATACTATACGAGCGGAGCCCACCTGAAATGGTGAGGTCTTAAGAGTGTATGATATTTTTTTCCGACTCGCTTTGTTGGGGAAATGTGAATATTTCACGCACGATTATATTGGAGTATTAGTGAAAATTATAATGATACCAATACGTGGCGTTATTTCAGATTCTCACAGCTATTCTGCACGTGGTGATCAGCAGAAGTTTCACTA